AAAAAAAAAAAAAAAAAAAAAAAAAAGTGAGGGTGACACTCTTGCTTGTCATTTATATCTAGCTGGGCAAACCACTTCTCTCCCTCTAAAGTCACTCTCCTCATCTGTAAAACAAGGATAACAACACTATCTGTCTCCTCAAAGGGTTGTAATGAGGATTAAATGAGATAAAGCATGTTGAACACTTAGCACAGTGAGTGATATGGAAGCTCTAGATAAATTTGCATATTATCATCATTTTCCTCATTATTACATGTGCTACCAGACTGAAATGGCTTAAGGCATGATTTTCCCATGGTTTACAAAGCTCCTTGGCAACCTCGGAAGGCTTTCTGATGGTCAGTGAAAGGAGCTATTCAAGAGCTTTTCTGTTCTTAATGTCAACTTGTAAATTCTAAATCCACAAGATAATTGAAACATGTTTTCAATGTCTCCCTAAATGATGGGGTACTTTGTAAAGATTAAAGATAATAACTGCATACTCTCTTGTAGACAGAACTCCACACTAAAGCTTCTCTCTGGGGCTCACCGAACAGGTACACTCTTCCACATGGCCACTGAATGGCTGCCAGTCCTGTCAATCTAGATTTCCATAACAAAGGATATGTCAAGTGGGCCTTGTGTCATGGCTTCCCTTTCACCCACAAACCTAAGTCAGACACCAATGGCAAGCGATCTTACAGGTACACTCATTTTTTTGTCAAACGGCAAGGTAAAACTTATCTGGGGCAAATTCAAGAAGGCTGCCTACTGTTGAAATGAGAGAGAGAAGCAAACTTTTGACAAGGCTGCATTTCAAAATCTAATACAATTTCAATGGATAAATACAATAGGCTATTAAAAAAAAAAAAAATTTAGGCCAGGCAAGTGGTGACTCATGCCTGTAATCCCAGCACTTTTGGAGGCCAAGGCAGGTGGATCACGAGGTCAGGAGATCGAGACCATCCTGGGTAACATAGTGAAACCCCGTCTCTACTAAAAATACAAAAATTAGCTAGTATGGTGGTGCGTGCCTATAGTCCTAGCTACTGGAGGCTGAGGCAGGAGAATCGCTTGAATATGGGAGGCGGAGTTTGCAGTGAGCTGAGATCGAGCCACTGCATTCCAGCCTGGTGACAGAGTGAGACTACGTCTCAAAACAAAACAAAATTTACTTGGGCATGATGGAACGAGCCTGTAGTCCTGGCTACTCAGAAGGCTGAGGCAGGAGGATTGCTAAAGCCTAGGAGTTTGAGGCTGCAATGAGCTATTATCATGCTAGTGTACCCCAGCCCAGGCAACAGAGCAAGACCTCATCTCTTAAAACAAAACAAAACTTGTTCTCTATGCAGTAAAAAAAAAAAAGAAAAGAAAAAACAAAACAAAACAGCTGGTTGTGGTGGCTCACGCCTGTAATCCCAGTACTTTGGGAGGCCAAGGTAGGCAGATCGTCTGAGGTCAGGAGTTCGAGACCAGCCTGACTAACATGGAGAAACTCTATCCTTACTAAAAATACAAAATTAGCAGGCCCATGCCTATAATCCCAGCTACTCGGGAGGCTGAGGCAGGAGAATTGCTTAAACCCAGGAGTTGGAGGTTGCAGTGAGCCAAGGTCACGCCATTGCACTCCAGCCTGGGGTGACAGCAAAATTTCATCTCAAAAAAAAA